TTAAAATTACGGTATGACTAGTATGGAGCCCTAAGGCATACTCTTAGTAAGTATTCAGGCTATACCACTCTGAAGCCCTAAACCCCTAAACCCCTAAACCCTAAACCCCTAAACCACTAAACCCCTAAACCCCAAGCCCTAAACCGCTATAACACTCTGAAGCCCACTTGGCGAGGAGCAGAATACCCTCCGACTTGAGATCGTCGTCTGTCTGGTGGATGCAGATTTGATCAAAGAACCTGAGTTAAAGGAAGCTACAGGTGGGGAGTTTATGGTTTATAGGGCTTCTATAAGGCTTCTATAAGGTATGCAGGTTTGATCAAAGAACCTCAGTGCGGTGTCCGCGAAGGTAGAGGAGTTAGGGTTTAGTCTAGGACATTTTCAGGTGGGTAGTTACCGTAATAGGAGCCTTATAGAAGGTCTATATACCTTATAGAAGCCTTATAGAAGCCCTACATACCCTAAACTCCCCACCTGTAGTTTCCTTCAATTTAGGGTTTAGGGTTTAGGGTTACTCCAGTGTCGAGTCAGGTTTGGAGTAGATCGTGGTTTTAGTTATAGGATGGGGACTAGAAGGGGGATGGTGCGGTTGATGAGATAAGTCCTGCATTACCTTAAGGATCCTAAACTGTGGGAACTACGGTCTATTCCTAATTCTGGGTAATGCAGGATTTTTTTATCATCAACCATATCACTCATTATTCCGACACCTCTATAATATGGCCCCCAAACCCGAGACCCGCACCTTAAAATCGGGGCCTCGGTAGGGGCAATGGAAATGGTCTTGGACTCCTTAAACCCCTAAACCCCCAAACCCCTCAACCCCCAAACCCTAAACCCCTAAACCCTAAACCTAGTGTCAATTGGGCCGCTTTGCACTCCCGCTGCTCAAAGAGCCCCTGTCTCCCTTCCCTGAACTTCGTCTGCGCCGCTCTTATGGCAATCCGGGCGGAACAAAAAGCAGCAAATCCCAACCAATCATGGCAAAGACTGCGCTGCCCATTGCGACACAGTTCAGATTCACTCGTAGAGGCCACAGGCTTTTCAACCCAAAGGCTTACTTAAGGATCAAGGCTGAATTGGGCTCCATCCAGCACGATGGGTTGCCGAACATGAGTGAAAACCCTCTTCTCATGATGAAGCACAAAGACAGTAACCTCGCAGGAACGCAACTTTCAACCACAAGCAGAAGAAAAAAGAAAAAGCAATAACAAAGACGACCCTGAGACCCCGATCCTGACAACACTGCTATCTCCGGCGGCGTCAAGAAAGCTCGCGGACCAAATACGTATAAACTCTGGGATCCCTTTAACTTGAACTCCCCAAGACCCGAAACGCCTACGGCCAGACGCAATGCCCGAGGAAATTCCATACATGCACCCAATAGATCCCCAAGAATGCATCAGGCGTTACTTGCATGCTCATGTCTCTACCCCCTAAACCCAAAAAGCCCTCCGCGGCTAAGCTAACCCTAAGCCCTAAACCCTAAACCCTAAAACCTAAACCCAAAAGCCCAAAAGGCCCAACAAGCCCTCCGCGGCTAAGCTCGGAACACCCTACGCCGCGAATGCCAGAGAATGAACCTGGCTCCAGGGGCTCAAATTTGTAAGGGTTTAGGGGTTTAGGGGTTAGGGGTTTAGGGTTTGTGGGTTTAGGGTTAAGGGGTTTAGGGCTTAGGGTTTAGGGTGGCTGGGTATTGTAAGATATGATGAATCAGGTTGGGGTATACTGACTTACGGTATGACTATTATGGAGCCCTAAGGCATACTCTTAGTTTGTATTCAGGCTATAACACTCTGAAGCTCTAAACCCCAAACCCCTAAACCGCCATAACAATCTGAAGCCCACCCGCCCAGGCACAGGATACCCTCCGACTTGAGATCGTCGCTTAGGGTTCAGGTTTAGGCCTTGGGGTTCAGGCTTAGAGCTTTGGATTCCAAGTTTAGGCCTTAGGGTTTAGGGTGTAGGGGTTCAGGGTCTAGGCCTTAGGGTTCAGGTTTAGGACTAGGCCATAAATATGAGATCGAAGTGGCATTTGTATCATATCCGATGTTGGGGGCTTCTTTGGGCGGGGTGGGTGTTGGTCTTGAGGATTCATAGCCCGGCTAATCGGAGCTGCTGAACTCTAAAGCCTAAACCCCCAAACCCTAAGCCCCTAAACCCCTAAACCCTAAAGCCCTACACCCCTAAGCCCCTAAACCCTAAACCCCTAAATCCCTAAACCCCTAAACCCTAAACCCGAAACTGGAAGGTACTTGTCATCCTGCTTGCCGGCTCCCCGATCCTCCAAGTCATGTCCCCCTAAACCCTTAACCCTAAACCGTTTCGGGCTTCCTGATACTATCATTTAGACTACCGGGCTCCTTGATGGTATGATTCATGTATAATAAGGAGCCCTAAGCAATGGTTCAGTCTTTAAGCCCCCCCATATGAAGATACCCCGAGTTGGGGCGATGTCGGACCAGGCAGTTAGCTTGGGAGCTTCTGGGGGGTTTAGGGTTTAAGGGTTAGGGGTTTAGGGGTTTAGGGGTTTAGGGTTTAGGGGTTTAGGGGTTCAGGGGTTTAGGGTTTTAGCGGTTTAGCGGTTTAGGGTTTAGGGTTTGGGGTTTCAGCGGTTTAGGGCTTAGGGTTCAGGTTGCAGAATGTAGAAAGGTCATCGCACCCTGAAGCCTGAAAGTCAAGTTCCGTTCAGGCACTTGAAGTACTCCCAGAATATAGGAGGTAGGATTAGGGGGACCCCTGGCAAAAAAGGATACCTTCTTTTGGGGTCCTTATAATAAGGATCCTACAATTTAGGGTCTTTTTGGGTTTTGCTCATGTACTGGAACAGTGGGAGTTAGGATTAGGGGGACCCTGGGGGCATATAGACCCTCTCAATAAGGTCCCTTTTGAGAGAGCCACAAGTAAGGTTCAGAAGGGTCCCCTTTACGGGGTCTCCCTAATACTACCTAGGAGAGAATAAGAAAAGCAACCTTTGCCAACCTTTGCCTCTGGCTCATTCTAATGTGAGCAAACCACTTCCAAAAATGGGTAGCTCTAAATTAGGGTCCCTTTCTAGGTCCCCAATGTAGTACGGCACCCTTATAAAAAAAGGACCCTAAAAGGGACCCTAATTTAGAAAACTACCAAAATTTAAAAGGGTACGGCGTGCCGCCTGTATCCTAGAGACCAAGCAATCCTCGACAGCATCCGCTCTCCCTGACCACTTCCGCCCCCTTGAAATAGGACAGGCACTATTCCTCTGAACAAAACCCGAAACCCTAAACCCGAAACCCAAAACCCTAAACCCAAAATGCACAAAACCCAAAACCCTAAACCCCAAACCCAAAATGCACAAAACCCCAAACCCAAAATGCACAAAACCCCAAACCCAAAATGCACAAAACCCAAAACCCAACATGCACAAAACCCAAAGCCCTAAACCTAAAATAAAACTCTGTGACCCGCAACACCCAACCCCAAGCCGGAAACCCGAAATGCCGAGGCCCCTTCACTAAACCCCCTGTTCACGACATAAATCCTGCATTACCTTAGGGTTTATAGGGTGTAGGGTTTAGGATTTAGGATATAAATCCTTAGCATTGCCTTAAGGACCCTAAACTGTGGGAATTATGGTATATTCCTTATGATGAAAAATGCAGGATTTATATCATCAACCGTTTCAATCGGGGCGAAGGAGGCGTCAACGCTGAGGCGGTGGTTCCAAAGAGAAGCGCCTCATTCCAGGGAGATCGTCTATCCGAGACTCGGTAATTCGGGGGGTTTCGGATTCAGGGTTGTAGTTGTTAGGCGTTGCGGCCCGAGCGAAAGTAGAGCCTGTTCTGCCTCAGCAGTTCGGTTTCTTTTTCGTCCTTCCCAACCCTAGCAGCAATTGTGTTCGCACCAGCTGCGTGGCTCCTGAGCAGTGTCGGAGCCGGCCTCGATTTGAGGCCTCGCCACACGCTGTCTTTTAATAGACCGTCTGGCCGGTGGAGCCCATCTATTGGGCCGCTCCAAGTGGAGCTCCTGCATCGCTCGTGGCCCTATACGCTGCCTTTCACTAGGCCGTCTAGCGCCCCAGCGCCCGCAGGTTTGTGGATGTTTCAGTGTGGGGCCTATCTCACGATCATCCCCTTGGTATTCCTGGGAATATTCTTAATCTGGGTTGGTTCAGGATCCGACTTCAACCACGACCCGCTCCCAGCGACCTCGCAGTCCCCCCTGGCATCGCCGGGAGCGTCGAGCAAGGGCCATCGGCTGCGCCAAGGCGTATACAGCTATACGGACTGGATTTTATTAGCCAGCCATCACGGAAGTATGCCGCCCAGTCAAAAACCGTCTGGCCAAGCTGGTGCAAAACCCCAGAAGGGGAGAGGAAAAGGGTCCGAGGCGGCGCCACAAGCATCGAGGATCGAGTTCGCTTTACCGCAAGCTATGGTCACCTCCTTACAAGCAATTACCTCGCGCTCTACTCAAGACTTGTGGGGGAATCCCACCAGCATCCCCGGCGACCTGAGCGTCGAACAACAAGCACAAAGAAGAGCCTCAGCGGTGGGAAAACTCTCGAAGCGCATTTCTGGCAATTTGCGTGCGAAAGAGGAGCTTCGCGCCTCCCTCCAGCAATGGGTGATTACCATAGCTATTCACCTCGCTGGCCTGGTTCAAAGAGTACGTGCCCTGGGAGAGAAAGTGGACTTGGATTTGACGGAGGCCCTCAACGAGATGCGGGATGCCCTTCACCAGCAGCCATCCATTACCACGTCGGAGCAGGTATCGGCGGCCACGGAGGCTGTGGGCCGGCCGATATGGAGTCAACTTCAGGAACACGAGATTTTTCGTGTTGTCTCCGCTCTACGCGCATTTGGTGTTGTGGAAGCCCCCCAGCGTGGCGTGGAGGCGGGTTCCGAAGTCAGTTTCGGACTGGCAGCAGCAGCCATGCCGTCACCCGAGGGCATGGACACGGAGTTGAGCGGACTCACAGATTTGGGTCTACCAGTTGGGGCAAGATCGGCTGCGGATGCTGGCCCTCATTCCGGGGCGGAATCTGCTGGTGGCCTCAGCGCTGCCACTGGCCGGCCTCTGAGCACCAGCGTGATTCTAGGGGGCGGCGATGTTGTGTCGACATCACGGCCTTCGCGGTGGAGGAAACGCAGCGGAGCGGAAACCAGCCGGCCGTCCAAAAGCCCGCGCAGGGACATTTTGTCAAGTGTCCCATGGGCTCTCCCTGCCACAGGTACTACCCCGGAGGCTTTACAGCGACCACAACAGACTCAGGTTGTGGACGGCCCCGAGCCTGTTCGTCCAGATCTTGGCGGTATGTCTTGGGAGGAAGCGTGGCTACAACTGCTACAGTTTGCCACCGAGCACGGCTCTGCGCTGGTGGGCGAGGTGATTCGCGACCCACAGCAAGACACGGTGCTTCCCCTCCAAGACCACAACCCCGAGGATCGCAGCGAAATACTGGAGGCTGCAGAGGACATATGGTTAGCTATGTTGGCAGCCTTGGACGTACAGGAACAAGGCTGTCAATTCACTGTGCGTCCGCATGCAAGACCTCCTCAACAGGTTACGACTGTGCCCGAGTGCTATCAGTGGAGTGCGGCAAGGGACCATCCTGCTCGCCCAAGTCACGTTGGGCAATCTGCTGGATCCTTACTCCTATGCTCCCACTACGGCACAGGAGTGGCTCTTCCCGACAGCTATTGCAGAACACGGTTCTCTGGCCAGAGGTCACATCGCCACTCAACCCTCCGCGGCGCAAGCGATGCGAACCCTGCTGTCGCGACGGTGCCCAGCTCTTTTGCAGATCCCGGAAGATGGATTCTCAGACCAACTTTGAGGCTGTTACTGCTGGCCTTGCGGGTCGGTCTGGTCTTGATGCCTCCTTGTGGTCGAGTTCTTCACGGCCTGAGCCATGTGCGCAAAGTTCCCCGCCTTCGAATGACGTCACCCTCGCCGATGTATTCTAGCTCGCTGAGTCCAATTGTACAGATTGGTTCTTTACTTCTGTACAGGGGCCAGGAAGCTAGAGTGCGGTGTCGTGTACATACCGGACCTTTTTCAAGGCGTTGCAACTGGGACGGTCGGTTTGGTCCTGGGGTCTCCTCCTGGCTCCACCTCTTTTCGATGGGGCTAAGGGGCTTTCCGGGCTCTATGCCAATTGTGGGCGCGCGATGGTCTGCTGTCATTGGGTTCGTTGGCGGCAGTGCATGGGTGACATACTCTTACCGCATTTTAGGTCAATTACGTTCTGCCTGTGGACTTCCTTGCAGCCGCGGGAGAACACCCGAGGGTGGTCGGTCCAGGGGCTCCTTTTCGAGCCGTAGCCCTCCTTTTAAGACACGACAGCGGGCTGCCTGTATCTTGTGGCTGTTGCTGTTCCCTTGCCAAGGTGTGCAGATCTGGCAGCAGGGATCGCTTCAGGGACAGCCAGTGTTCACCACTAGTAGTGTTCAGCCTGCAGCTTCAGTCCAGGACCTTCGGCCTGTCAGAACTCCCAATGCGCCTCTCATTGAGCCAGCCCTCAGGACTGGACCGCAGGCTCTCCGCACGATTGGCGTTTACAGACCTCAGGAGTCAGATCAACCGACCGTGCTAATCTCGGATGATCGCGCCCACGGTCCGCTTCTGCATAAAATGGTTTGTTCCGCTTATGGCTTGGCTGAGTCTGAGTGGCAGCTCCGCAGACTGGTCGAGGCTCTGCCTTCGCTTCCGCCAGAGCAGTATGTGCTGTCCCCTGCTCAACTTCCATGGGATCAGGCTTTGGTTCCGGTTGACTTGCGACCACTTGGAGGTAGGGTTCGGCTTCAGTTGGCACACCGATGCGCGTCTTGCGGTGATATTGCTGAGCGGGCTATACAGTCACAGCAACTTGGACCATGCCCAGTTGCTTTGTGCCGCACCAGCCAGGGATGGTTCCACCCTACCGCACGTCTTCTTCTGTTGCCTTATGGTGATGCCTTCCAGGTCTGGCCGATGCATAGGGTTCCGGCGGCAACATTGATGTCACAGGCTGAGGAGGCTGACGCGCCTGCCACGCTGGAGGACCGGTTCAGCACCAGTCTATCTTTGCCCGCTACAGGAGAGTTAGCCTTTCATGATCTCAGCGGTGCCAATGCCGTAATCCTTCATGCACACGGACACACATATGCCTGTGTTCCCTCGTATGCCGACCATCTCACACTTCGATCGTCGGCCTTGAGTGCTGTTGCAGCTGATTTGCAGATCCAGCCAAGAGGCAGACTTTGTTGTGCCCGCCTTCTTCCCCCACTGGACCGTATGCCTGCCATTCAATTTGTAGCGGCATATTGTGAGGTCGGTGAGGTACTTGGCGTTGTTGATTTGCGCCCGTCTGGTGGAGGCGTTTATGTGATTCAGGTGCGGGAAGGTGCCACACCGGCTGAGCGTATTGCGGAGGCTGTGCAGCGGCATGGTGAGCCGTCTAGTGACACGCAGTTAGCTGCAGGGCTTGCTCAGGGGAGGCTGCAGGTCTTGCATAGAGAACATGTGGTTGATCCATTCGCGCCTCTCCATGCAGCTCCGCCAGCCCCGGTTGTTGTTCTTTGTCGCCGTAGCCATCTCGCTTCGGGCTACAGGGACCCGCAACTGCTTGGGGAGGATCCTGATGTGTACGCCGAGGTGACACTTGGAGTTGCGACAGTTCGGGATGCTGATCCTTCCTCAGCCACTCGATATTTTGGCAGTTGCACTTGGGGCCCCCTTCTCGGCCTTCTGTTGACGGCTCCACGATGGCTATCTCTACTGACCATTCCGTACATGGTTTCTTGTATGCATGACCCTGAAGCTGCGGTGGAGTTCTTCCAGCCGATGGGTGACAGCCCTTGGTCTACGGCCGCTCAGCACCCAGGTCTCGCGTCTGCGGAGGAACATGCAACATTAGGCCGGAGCTTACCCTCGCTGGATGCTAGAACGACCCTTTGCTTCTCGGTCGATGACAGAGCTGGTGTGCCGGAGCGGAGTTCCGATTCTGTATCTGGAGTCCCGGTGACAGGATCTGCTTCTTCCTGTCTGGGCTCAGTGAGCCGGTGACTTTGCGTGAGCGTCTTCTAGAAGCTAAGGTTCGTCTTAGTCGAGGTGACTGCATAGCCTGGGACCCCTTGCCGGCGGACCGTGGTTTGCATTTCGTCGCTACGGCCCAGGATCCTGCGCTTGTCACGGTCATTGCTGATACGGGTCGTGAGTACCTGTGCTTGGATGTTCCTCGTGCTCGCTTCGGCACTGCTCTGCTTTCGGCTGTGCAGTTGCTGTGCCCAGAACGCTGCTTTCGATTTACGGATAACGTTCGGACTCCTGTTAGACACGGAGATGTCATTCGGCTTCTCGATGAGCCGATTGTTAGCTGCCGATCACCGCAGTTCTATGTACCGAGGTTCACGTATCCGCCCTCCCTGGAGCCGGGCTCACAGTTAGTCTACATTGCTTCTGTGGACATGGGACTGATCCGACTCAAGGTCCCTCTGGGGGTTGATATTCACGCTCTGGAACGAGCACTCATTGTTTGGCTGGGCCGACAGCGTTGCCTCGGGGTTCGGCTGTACAAGCTTGACTTAGATGTTGCCGTCCCAGTCTACTGCTTGCCGCGCAGGGGGCGCAGTACACTTGCCGTTGGATTGCTCGACCTCGCTGATCCCATCATGGATACTATTGTGCATGTTGTTGACGCTGACGAGTCAGTTGAGCTCGACTGCGAGATTCTTCGCGAGCCCTGGCGCGCGGCCTCTCTCTTTTGGAATGATATTATGGCGAGGGGGCCGGTATGTGTTGCTTGTTGGCACTCTAGGCCGGCTGATTCTGCCGGCGGGCCGCGCTTCCGCATGGTGGCTCTTGGCCTTGATGTGTGTCGTGCGTTGGGTGCCGGGTGGCAGCCGCCAGTCCCCAGTGTAGTTCCGGATTATGACCTCGTCATTGCTGCTGAGCACCTAGGCATTAGTTGGGGTTCCGGCCTACTTGCAGCTAGCCGACATGCCTCCACCCAAACTGTTGCAACGCACTGGCCTATGCGAGCGTCGCCGCTGTTCTCCTCAGCGATGCCCGTGCCACGCAAGGCTGAAGGCTGTTCATTTGACGAGAAGTTCGGAGCGGAAGGCACCCTGTTCCACCTTGAGTGTCCTCATATGCATGTGCGTTGCACTATCCCGTGTGTTGCTGGTCGGCACATTTGGGCTCTTCGCCTTGGTAATTGGGTCCGGGCTGCGTGCACTACACGTCTTAGCTGGGACGAAGTGCTGGAGGTGGCTGGCCTCTCCTACTGGGATCTGCCCGGCACCAGTATTCACGGCCCGGATCAGGTTTGGTCGTGGCCTGAAGATGTCGTTTCTCTCTCAGGTCAGTGCGGTCATGTGATGCACAGCGGAAGCGATCCACATCTTGAATGCATGTACTCGGTTGACCCTCGCCCGCCGCCGACCCCTGCTGCTCGATCACACAGTCATCGACTGGCCTCGTCTTGGTGGCAGCTTCCTCTTCTTGTGTTCGTCACTCGAGGCCACGCTCTTTACGGGGGCATCGGCATCTTGCTGGCTCTCACCACCGCTCAAGCTACGAGTGACACCAATGCTTCCGATACCCCGTCTGCTCTACATAGCTCCAGTGCTTCTGACGGGCTTGTAGCTGTTACTAATTCCACTCCCAGTTGTAGCTCGGCATGGTGTTATGAGCTCTCCTGTCAGAGCACACACTTTACTGTTGACTTTGTATCGCTGGCGGCGTACTTCACCGCGCATTCTCCGACTGAGTTAGTGCGTGTGCAGCTTTGGAATCCCTTCGAGGGCCCTTCTCTTTTCGATTTCCTTCGGACTGAGTCTGCTATGGCTCTTCACTCCAAGTTATTAGCTGCCGGGCATGACCCATCGAGGCGAGTCCTGTACGTAGCCTTTGACACTCAGAGCACTGTGGTGGACTTGGTCTCAATTCCCCCCAACAGTGGTCGTTGGTGGATTGTCCGTGACGGGTTGTCCAGGGAGCTGCTGCGCCCTGTCACCACCTGGGTTGACGAGAATCGTCGGTCGGTTGTTACTTTGAACTCACATGGCCAAGCTGCGAGTCTCGCTACTACGCCCGAGACCGCGGCGTTATACCACCTCCCGCAAGGAGCACGTGGAGTTACTGCTGCTCCTCTCACCCGGGTATATGGACACCTGACCACGGCGGGGATTGTTTTAGTTGAAGCTGGTATAGGTGTTGTTTCGGGTGCTAGATTACGCCTGTCACTCATAGCCGGCACTCTTCTACTGTTCGCTGTGCCTAGCCAGGCCATGATGCAGGGCCAGGTGGTGCCAACAAGCTCGCAAGCTCTATGGAGTAATACTCAGCCCCCGCCTCAGCATACTCGGATCTGGACTCATACGCTTGCTGCACCCGTGACCGTCGCTTACTCGCCAGAGCCCAACCCTGCTCGACTTGCTGCAGCTGTTGCCGCAACACAACGCGGCCCCAGGGGCGACGGAGTCTTTGACTGGACGGTTCCTCGGCAGTACGGGGATACTGCGCATATCATTCACTATCCTGCTGGTCTGTGTCCGCCCTTCGTATTCTGGTTGTTGCACTATCGTGGCAGAGGTGCTGTCATTTGCGCTACTCCAGGGCATGTTGACTGGCAGTATTTAGCGCAAGAAGCCTCGGAAGCATTTTCCTCCCCGGGTTTTATGCAGGGTTCATTCGGTATTCAGCATAACGGGCGGATCTTTGCCTACGGTTCAGACCTTGTGACGCCACCTCACGGCACCATCCTTCACTTAGTTCGCATGGGGGCTCGGGCTTCTTCCGGTTCTGCTGGTAACGTTTGGGAAGCTCCTGCTGAGCTACACTGGATACCTCAGTTTGAGTATAATCTCTGCTTAGGTCCCGGGGGTGAAGCCCCCATATGTGATGGTCTTCCCGGTAAGCGTTGCACCGGGTTCGGGTGAGGAGTTGCAGGCCTCCCTGTCTTACATGCAGCATTTGCTAGGTGGGCTCGAACAATCAGTCGCACAGTGCCACGCTGCGGCAGTTGCGCTTGCTGCTAGCCAATCTGCCGCCGACTCCGTGCCGGAGACAGCCAACGGGGCAGCCCCCCCCGCATCTGCCGCCATCCCTTCCTGTGGGGCGAGCTATGTTGCCCAGCTCTGCTTTGTCTTGCTTCTTGGGCTTGGTCAACAGAACTCTGCCGGCTTGCTGGTGTATGGCTTGGCTTCCCTCGTGGCGCCGATAGTCTATGCGGACGATTCTGGCGATGAAGCCCCGGATGGCCCTACCGAGCCCAGCTCACCTGACCTTCTTGACCTACAAGCTCCCACTCCTACGGGCTCCATCGAGTTTGGTTCAGAACCAACAGTCGGTATTATACAACGCCCGAGTGACTCGCCCTTCGCTCGCACTTCTGTTCCTTTAAGCGGTGAAATTGAGCCATCTATCAGCTCCTTTGACCTTGCGAAGATCCCGAACATACAGCGTGTTGTGGCGGCCTGCCTCAGTGACGTTGATACTGAGCCCTCAGCTGAGCCGCTTATTCCGGCTGGGTGCCCGTTCACTATTCATAACCCGTTCACGAGCCGCTCTCAATGCAAGGTTATGTCGGAGGTTATTTCTTCTCCTCAAATGCTTCGGACTGTCCTGTCGGATTTTTCTGCCCGCAGAGGATGGCAACCTCTTGTGACCCTTCACCCACAGCCGGATTCCCGCAGCGTTCATCTCTTGCCTGCAGCTGCTGATCCCTCGTTAGCTTCGGTCGTGCTTCGCACAGGCACGAGCCTTCAAGCCTTGTGCCTTTCCCGTACCTGGCAGGGGAATCCTTACAGGAGAATCGCACTTCAGGGAAGACAGGGGCGGTTGCGTGAGCCCTACAGCGTCTCCCGTGGCAGTGGTGGGTCCGTTACTTTCCGAGACGGTGATTGCCTGCATGCAGATATGGGACCGTTTGGACCGCCACCGCCCACACCGGCCACGTCGGGTGCGCGCTCTCGTCTCACATTATTGTGGGCTGTAGTTGCCTTGAGCAGTACACGAGGGGACCCGGTTTTATTTGGGGTCCATTGTTCTTGCTTGCGTGTACCCGGGCCGTCCAACTTGTCCCACCCGCACCGGATGGAGTCCCAGTCGCCAAGGTGTCTGTTAGCCACTACCCCTGGCGAGAAACCCTGGAACGGCAGACCTTGCGCCTGGTCTTTCGGGATAGATGCTGTCGGGTATCTCGGCTCTGCCCCTGGCGCGGCCCTCAAGGGTTATACCACACGCCACCCCAAGCCATGCTGCAGGATGTCTGGGCTCATTATGCCGAAGACGGCCGTCCACACGAGCTGGTGCCGATTTGGCCCAGCCTAAAGACTAAGTGCAGACAGGCTGTGGTTCGTCCCTCGGGCACATATTGCAGGTGCTCTTGTATGTGTGGTTGCATGGCAGGGAACCAACATGCGTGCGTTAGTCCTCCCAGCTCGCGTCTCTCCCTCAAGACTCTCCCAGGTGGTCCAGTACTTGACTGGCTGGGAAGTTGCTGACATCCGGCTCCCGCTAAGCCTGCAGGCCTGTCTTCCACTCCCGTTTGATACTCCTTGTATTCTGCGAGACGGGGATGTGCTTGATGCGGTGTCCCCTGGTAGTGAGCGAAGCAGGCATGTGGCGCGTCACCCTGCTGATCTGAAGAGCAATGTGCTGTGGACCCGCAATATTTTGCTCCAGCATCCAACTTTTATTCGCATATGGTCGCCGCGTATCCGGCCTCCTATCCTTCTGTGCATTGCAGCAGGGGAGCATTGGGACTCGGTCGCCATGTCGTTCTCCGGCACTTTCCGGGCTGACCATCCTGGACGATGGGTTCCGGTTCCTTGGGCCCCTTGTCGTCTTCCTCATTTTGTCCAGGCCTCTGAGGATGAAGAATGCGCCAATGTGTTGTTTGAGGAACCGTGCGGCGTACACTGTGTCACCTTTGATCGTCAAGTTACCCCGCACGATATTACGCAAGGGACCTCCGAGCACAGCCGGGGTGTACGCGTTCTAGGCAGCCCGCACATAGGGGCTCACGCTCCTCTTGAACTCCGTGACGGTGATGTTGTTGTGACAGGACCCTTGGCTAACGCCGCAGACTCGGCCTGGCCGGACCTCCGAAACCAAGCGGCGCTGGGATATACCCGCTGGCTTACTCGGGTTATTGTCTGTGCATCTTTACGGTCGTGGTCCTGGTTATGTCACGTGGGCATTGGAGTTGTCAACGTCTTCGCTGTCCGTTCTCCGGTGGCTCCTCACCTTCATGGCAGATCTCGGTCCCCCACAAGGGAGGACATTTCGCGATGCCCTAGTCCTCGCATTGGTTACTGGCGGCCTGAACGCAGCCACCAGATGAACATGGTGGTCACACGGAGCGAATGCCATCTGCAGGTGCTGTGCCCATTTCGTGGCTGGGGAACGCCAGTTCCTTATACCCGCATCACCGACTCTACACAGATAATGCAAGCTGTACATCGGGACTCGGGATCTTGGGCTGCCGGGTTCCTGCCTATAGGAGGAGCCCACATTGATCACTTCACTGTTGTTCTGCCGTTGCCTCCGGCCCCTTTGGCTACCATAGTTCTGCACCACGGTGATATTAGCAGGGCAGTTCTACTGCCCTCCTGCATCACTCTTCGGCAGGCACACGGTTATATGGCCTTATTAGGTGTCGTGCCGGGGCTCCAGGTACTAGATCCTCCCTCACTCAGGCGAATAGGCGGTTATGAGGATGAACCTATCCGTCTCCGGCATGGGGACACTTTCGAGCTGGTTGCAGGCCCCTGGCACCCAACACGCGACAACATGAGGCCCTTGTCGTCCCGGACTTGCAGCAGATGCCACACCTCAATGTTTGGCATGTCACTGTTCAAGTTGCGAAGGGAGGTTGGGCGTCTATTTGGAGTACGACAGATGAAGGCTTGAGCTGCCACGCGCGGCTCTGGGTCCCTGACGGCTCAGCCTGGTCCCCCAAGTGGCTCCACTTTAGTGTCGACGGGCGCCCACTGGCGCCAGGCCGGTGGGTTCCTGCGGCTTATCTTCCAGAACACGACGTCAGTTTTGTTGAACAACCTGACCCCCTGGCTGTTCACGTCCTGTTGATGCAGCCGTACGACCCTACCGCCACAGCCTGCAGGCGTCTGCTGCTCGATTCGTCAGCCGAGCGTTCCGCCACTAACCGTGTTTCTGAAGACTGGCAGTTGCGCCCAGACCTCCGGTCCCGAGTCGTAATTCCTTGGCCTCGGAATGGTGACGTGATGGTTCCCCGCATTCGATGTAATGCCTTTAACTTTGGCGTTTTCTCCGGGAGCTCCACCGTCTCCTCTTGTGGGCACTGGACCGGTCGGCATGGGATGTTTAGTCTCCTGGCCTTCGCGTCCGCCTCCCTTCGGGGGGCTGCATTGGCCAATCAGCGTTCGGCTACGCCAGCCAGTGACGGTCTCCTCACCGGGGTTCTTGTCGCTGCCGTATTGTGTCGTAGCCGGGTGTTTGGTTGGCTCCTGTTGGCACATGCTGCGCTTGCTATGGTCGTGCCGCCCGTGGAACAGCAACATTTGGCACCGGTTCCTGTAGGCAAATTTCCGTGGCGCGTACCTTCTCAGCAGCGGATATGTGGGGAGTCTGTTCTGCCTGATTCCCGTGCGCGACTGCTGTCCCCCTTCTCTGGCGATGGAGATGTGGTGGAGGTTTATCCCGACATGCCTGTGGAAGAGGTGCGTCTCGCGCTCTCCGGGGCAGAACCCTACTGGTTCTGTGAGATTGTCCCAGTCTGGCCCTCGATATGGCCACAAACTACTGTCTATGTACCCCTTCCGACCGGGGGGGATCTCGTCTGTGTGGTCGTGGCTTCTCCTGAATGGCAACTTGCTGTGTTGATGCCGCGCAGAGCCGATCTCGAGTGGTTGCTCGCTTATCTCCGGCGTATTACCCCGGGACCCATCTTCTCACTGCACCCACCCCTGGCCGCGCGTTCAGCAGAGGTCTCGCCTCGAGGTGCCCTTGACTGGCGGTCTGGTGACCTGCTGCTGGCGTTTCAGTGTGGCAGCACTGGCGCCACTTATGAGCTGCCGAACTTTGTGTCACCCTATCATGTCCGGCACGTTGCTATCTGGAATTATGATTTCATAGTGCAATGCAACTTGCCTCTGCTCATATGGCGGGTTGGTCGTAGGCCGTCAGAAACCGTCATGCCGCCGCCAGCCCGATGGGTCGCGTCGGAGCAGACCTTTACGGGAAGATTTGGTGTTAAGTACCCCGGTAGGTGGGTTCCGGTGCCATGGGCACACACCGACAACGTAGCATTGTGCCAGTGTGCCGAGGCTTCGGATCACTGCAACATCATTCTTGAGACATGCCACGATGGGCACTTACGAGGTGAGTGCATCACGGTCTCCACTTCCTCTAGCCGTTACTCGCTGTCCCAGCTTACCGGCGCTTCCCCCGATGCTCTTTCCCTTCTTGGGCACGGGGTCGATTCGTCGGAACTCCCGCCGTTGCGGGACGGCGACACCATCTTTCATGAAGCTGCACCTGTTACGGACCGCGCGGGGCGCCGTGCTCCTGGGTCCGTCTTCCTTGCTCTTCTGTGCTGGACCTCACGCCGCAGAGGGTCGCTAGCCCTCGTAGGTTTATGGTGGATTCTATCTGACCTTTGGGGCTTTCCAGCGCGTTACCCCCCGGCCTCTCATGGCCGCTTCCTAGTGAGGTTAGGCGGCAGGCGAATGAGTTGCCCTCTGTCACAGGTGCCACACCGATTGGGCGAGATGGGTCTATGTTGTACTGGACACTGGCCCAACTCGAAAACTATTTGCCTGCAGAGGGTTCCCCTGTTTGGGTGCGCCGAGACCAGGAGTGGGTCAGCAACCTTGATGAGGTGTGTCAGTTACAGGCACGGCTGCACAGTCTGTGGTGGACGCGGCCGCTGAGGGATGGACTGCCGATTCTTTTCCCTCCTACATATCACGCGGCATGGGGCTCTTTTCCTTTATGGACGGGTGGAGTTCCTGATTCTCTGCTGATCTCCACGGATGGCAGTGGTTTGCGGGGAGGCTCGTGGGCCTTTGTTGTCTGGGCGCGCTATAAGTCCTCGTGGTATCGTGTCGGATGGGATGGTATGGATCTTTCTGCGACGCCCTGGTGCCATGATAGGGGTCACACGCCGACACAACAGCAGTCATACCTTAGTGAGCTTACTGCCCTCCAAGCTGCCGCTATTTGGTGTCTGTCTGCCATTGACCGGTGGCAATTATGGATGGGCGCTTCCCCCACGTCGGTCACCATTGTGGTCGATAATGCAGCTGCTCTACAAGTGGCAGCAGGCCATGGGGCTGCTACCCAACTTGCTGCTCAACATACTAGGGTGCTTTGGCAAGCAGTTCAGAGCCGTGTCAATACCTCCTTCCGCCATGTCCATAGCCACGTCGGTGTCATGGCCAACACAATCGTCGATGCCCTAGCCGGGCTGCATTTGCCATGTCCCCTGGCGTTACGGGAGTTGCTGCCGCAGGCCTCAAGACTGGAAGCTCAGCTCACGGACCTTGGCCCGTACCTATGGCTGGTCCCGCGTGCACGCATTATGGATGGGCGTCCCTGTATGAGTTTCCCTGTAGCCCCTATGCAGCCTCCGTCAGATGTGGGCACGCAGACAGATCAAGACAGTGGGCACTGCGAGTCCGACGATCCTGAGGATGCTGGGCAGGCTTCAGCAGATGCCCCTGTGCCTCCGGGGCGCCGGCCGCCGGTTCCCCTGCAGATTCTCACGGCTAACGTCCAGACGATGAAAGACGTTAAGCCGAATGTGTTTAACCCCTCTGGCCATGCTGCGAGGCGCCAAGATCTCCTCCAGCAAGTCTCCCGTATACCCTGCGATGTGCTCTGTGTCCAGGAGGCGCGCAGTTGCCCTGGGAGGTGGGCCACTGGAGGCTGGCTCTCCTGGAGGTCAGGTCATTTGAAGGGTCAATATGGCTGTGAAGTGTGGGTGAGACCTGGCATCGTGAGTCCACCACTGACTCTCTCTTCTTGGCGAATCTTGGTCTCTACGCCCCGAATTATGATGGTCACCTGCACTGATGACCGTTTGCCGCTGACCATCTGCTCTGCGCATGCGCCGCATGCCGATAGGCCTGACATAGAGGCCACCGAGTTCTGGCAAGAGCTCAAGCTCGCGTGCCTTCGTGCTCCATCCTATCGTGGCCTAGTCCTTGGGGTTGATGCCAATGCCGACTTCTTTGCCCCTGACGATGATGGTCAACTCATTGGGTCTCTCTTGGCCGCAGGGGAACCTAACCGCAATGATATGCACCTCCTTGAACTATGTATTCACCTTGGCCTTATGGCTCCAGCAACCCAGGTTGAGGTTCAGATCGGAGCCGGCTGGAGCTGGGAACACACGGGAGGTACGCGGAGACGGATTGATCATATTCTGTTTCAGGCGGGACCCTGGGAGGTGCAGGCTACCAGTCAGGCACTTGACTTAGACCTTGGCCATAGCACGCGGGATCACATGCCGCTCCGAGCCCAGGCAGCTCTTCACTGCCGAAGGGCCCCTGCGCGTCGCGAGCTCTCGAGAAGGTGCTCCGCTGCTGAACTCATCTCTCACGGCGACGTTCTATGGCAATCCATTCGGGACGGCCTCCAACCCACTAGTGGCCCCCCTGCTTGTGTTCGTCTCCTCACGCAGTGCTATCAGGACTCTACCTCCCGGCTTCCCAAGAAAGCACCCTTTGTGGCTAGGCAACCATACCTGGCCCCCCGAACAGTCGTTGCCCTGGCAGACTTACGAGATTGGAGACAGCAGCTTCGCGTTGTTGGTCAGACGCACCGACTGTGCTGCCTACAGGCCAGCTTCAATGCGTGGAGCAGTGGACGAGCCAAGGTCTTGCATGTTGCTGCTCGACGCGATTCCTGTCGCCTCCACGCGGCTATGTCCGGCCAGGAAGCCCGATTGTCCAGAAAGGTCCATGACCTTGCACGGCGTGACAAGGCACGTCACTTTTTGCAGCTGACTAAGGCGGCCACCGATCTCTGGCACACTGACGGTCGTCCCATGGAAGCTCTGACTAAACTGCGATGGGCCTCCCGTAAGGCAGCAGAAAAACGAGCTGTGTTCGCTGCTGGCGGATACGACATAGACGCACAGCTAGAAGAGCAGTTTCGTTCACAAGAAGGCGGACGTCTCATCACCAGCAACCAAGTGGAGCGAGAGTACCTTGCTTGGGCTGGGAGCCCCGCTCCTCCTTGTTCCTCCTCATTGCCTACTCTCCTCGCGTTGGAGCATCTGTGTAGACGTCAGCAGGCCTCCAAGGCCCCGGGTCCTGATATGATCCTCAATGAGCTGTGGAGAGCCTTCCCTACCTATGCTGGCCAGTGGTTCTGGCAGGTGTGCACCCAGATTGCCCTTGGGGGTCATGAACCGCTTCATTTCAAACTTGCTCTTATTTGTGCTTTGTATAAAAAGGGGCCGGCCGCATTGCCGCAAAACTATAGATCAATAGCCCTCCTAAATGGTATGGCCAAGGTCTGGCACAGTCATCTGCGCACCACGGTTGGTCAGGCTGTCCTTCAGGGATATGCCCCATTCCAATTGGGAGGCAAACGAGGTATCCCCGTTGGCTTTGCCGTCGCAGCCTATCGTTGCGCCATGGATTTGAGCCATGCGGCAGGCCGCAGTGTTGCTGTGCTGTTCATAGATATACAGGCCGCTTACTATGAGGCCAGCCGAAGACTTGTCTTTGGGGGAGATGAGCTTGACCCGCCGGCTGAAGGCCTATGTGGGTCCCACCTTAGGCCGCTCGCGCAGGAGCTACTCAGCTCAGGAGCCCTGGAGCTGCTGGGAGTACCGCTCGAGGAGCGCAGTCTCTTGCAAGACTGCGTGGAGTGCTCGCACTGGCGTTTGGTGACCTCGGATCGCACCTTCGCCGCCACCCGTGGGTCGCGCCCTGGTGATGGCCTCGCCGATGTTATCTTTGGCGCACTCTTCTCGGTTGCATTGCGGCACATCCAACGGGTCTGCGCTGCTGAAGGTTTAGCGCATCACTCGCTTGCCAGCGCTATTGGTGGCAATGCGGAGCTGCTCCAGCTGGGTTGGGCTGATGACCTTGCTATCATCTCGGACTTTGATGAGCCCCAAGACCTTCAGCAGTCCTTTCCCCGCATTGCCTCTGTTGCCATCTCTACCCTGCAGGCTATGAAGTTTCGGGTGAATTTGGGGGCAGGTAAAACTGAAGCTCTACTGGACATACGAGGTCCCAAAGCTAAGCAGGTGCGTGGGGAACTGCTCACTGGTAGCTCTACGGTCATGTTGTCTCCCGGAGTAGTGCTGAAGTTAGCCCCTGAGTACCGTTACTTGGGTGTCGTGCAGACGCCGCGTGATACGGGTCGGCGGGACAACGAACTCTCGGCTAGGAGGGCTTGTAGTGCCTGGGCCCATGGTCGCAATCTCTTGGCTAGCACCAGCCTCCCCTGGGCACTCAAAACCTCTTGGCTCTCAGGTAGGGTTTTGCCGGCTGCCTATGCCACTCTTGCGACCTCAATTGCAGTCTCGGCCCGTGCGTGGAGTCCTTTGACGGGCTTCTACGAGCGTGCCGCTCGCACTCTTGTTGGGTCCTGGCAGTTCGGGCACTTTCTTACTGGGCCGATGCTGGGGGGTGTCCTTGGTCTTGCCACCCCGGAGCATGCTGCCATCATAGCTAGGGTTCGTCTCGTGATCCAGCTGGTTGTCGGGGCGCCGGCTGCTCTTTTTGAGTTGTTTGATGCCGCTTGGAACCGCGCTACGCCGTGGTGCGATTTGCTGGCAGACGGACTCCGGACGGTCTCTGTTGGACTGCACAACCCGACTCCTTTTCCGGTTACCTCCCTTGCTTTTGTTCGCCACGAAGCTATCCCTCTCCGTAAGCTCTGTCGGCGGCTTAGTCGCTGGGGATCACAAATGCAATCGATCTGGGACCTCTGGCAGGATGTTGTAGTTCCTCGTCAAAAGGCGGTGCTCGGGGAAGCCACTCCTCTCGAGTGCCCGTTGTGTCAGCAGATGCTACCCAGCCGGCATGCGCTTGCGGCCCATCTCCACCGTAAACACTCTGTTGTGAATGTCCTGACTCGCTATACGGCAGGTACTGTGTGCATGTGGTGTCACACGGACCACCAGTCCACGGATAGACTCAAATATCATTTGAGCCGTACTCCAGGTTGCTTACATGGCCTTAGGGTTGTGACCGGCACCGTTTACTCGTACGGGTCAGGGACGAAGAGGACTGGTGCTCGTCAACACCGCGGCATCCCACCGCAACGGTTGCCGGGGCCCATTAACGCCACCCCCGCACAACGTCTTGCAGCTGCTGAGGGCAGGGAGTGCACGCCCGGTGAACTCTCTGCTGAATTGCTGCGTGTCACTGGCTCGGATGACGTGTACCGCTGGCCTCCAGGTAGCGCGGATGCGGCTCTGGCTCAGGCACCCGCCCGCGTTGAGCCGCATGGCGACCCATCAACTTGTTCGCAGCAGAGCGGCTTTCTGCCGCCTGCTTCCCCTCGGCCTCTTAGATGGTTCTCCCTTGTCGATTATTCACGAGTTTCTGCCTCGGACTGGCGCACTCCGTCCCCCCGTTGGGATGGCGTTCTCCATT